CAGCCCGGCGGGGGGGCAGCGAGCGTGTGGGGAGCACACACAACTCCCGTGCGCTGGGAAGAGAGGCTGCAGCCCCCTCGGTCTGCAAACTAGCCTCCTTCTCACCGCCTCCCTGTGCCGGCTGCGCTCCCCAAAGAGCTTCGTTATCTTGTGTCGGCAAGAGCGACGCGGGGGTCGCATCGATGCGCGGCCTCCTGAACGACCGTGCGTGTTTTCTGAACGCTTTTGCTGCGGCGGATGGTGCGAGTCCGTGGGTTCGCACGTGCAAATCCACAGGGCGGATACGTACGTACGTGCAGAGGGTTGAAGCGATGGTACAGGTGGGATAATTGGGCGCCTGGCAGCCCCTCTCTGTAGGGAGGGGACGTCCGGCGGGAAGGTCAGTCGGTCAGTCGGTCGTGCCGGGGGCAGGGAAGGCCTGGGGCTGACGGGACGTCAGCGTTGAGAGAACGTGCGAATCCACGTGTGCTTGTACAAATGCATGCGATGGATACGTACGTACAAACACGTACGAGGGTTGAAACCGTACAAATAGGATAACTGTCGGACGCTTGGCGACGCCGCTGGGGCCTGAGATGTGACCCCGCAGCCGCCGTCTGTAGGGAGGGGGACGTCCCGCGGGAAGGGGGTTTGTCGTGTCGGGAGCAGGAAAGCGGCTGGGGCTGACGGGACGTCGGAGTTAAGAGAAGCCGCTCGGGAGAGAACCAGAGGGACGGGAGGTCGTGAAGGGGAGTAAAGCTGTCGCTCTGCAATGCCAGCTCAGGAGCTTCGTGCTCTGCTGTCATTTTAGTCTCTGGTTTTCACACCGTGGTTACATGGGAGAAAACCCAACGTCATCTAGGTCCTGGTACTGAAACGCTTCAGCTTTGTGCAGTGGGACACGACTAGGACCTTGAAAACAGGATTTGTACTTCCTCAGACGTAACTGCTGGGGAGGTGGAGAAGTTGGAGGTGTCCCTTTCCTTGCCTTCCCTGGTTTCTGACTCCCTGAAAATTGACTCCAGTCCTGCAGGGTGCCCAGCAAGTGCCCTGACCATCGTAGGGTGGTGCTGCTGGAGTGGTGATGGTCACTGCACTATGTTGGAGGTGAGGGTCTAGTGCAGCGGTTCTGAACCGGGGATACACGTACCCCCTGGGGGTACGTGAAGCCTCATCCAGAGGTACGTGAGATATATTTCATACATTGTCTAACAGAGGTCGAAGGGCCTAAAAAAATTAATTTCCCATTGAAATGGGGTACATGAAGTCTCACTCTGACACCAAAGGGTATGTCAACTGAAAAAGGTTGAGAACCACTGATCTAGTGGGTGATATCTTTTATTGCAGTGTGCAGCTGGTTCAATAAAAGACATTGCCCCCGAGCATCCTTGCCTTTGAACTTCCTGCTGGCTTTCTGTTTTTAAGCTGGTTATTTTTTTGCCTGCTGATGCTGAACTGTATTTTGAAACGAAGCGGTTGCTTTCTCCTACATTTCCTGCTTTTCCTAGTATTCTGCTTTCTTTGCCCAAGGACTTCAGGGGACAACACAGTTTAAGTGTTAGGATAATTCCCCACTTATGTATGATTTCTTTTTATCTTGACACTTTTGTTTGCTCTGTAGGATTTGTTTTTCTTGTTGTTGTGTTTATGGCATCAATTTGAAATCTAATTAGTTTTTAAAAAGCAATTGCAATTTTCTAGTGGTACTCCAGTCCTAACTTTTTAAAGGACACCTCTAATATGTGAGGATTACTTCCACCCTCAGAAGGCCCCTGTCAATTAGGTGAGACTGACAATAGACAAAGCGCTGTTAAATGCACAAACTGAAGGGCAAAACTGTGTGTAATGATTTTTGCAGATGAAACTTTTAATTGTTGCAATAATTGGCAACACACTCTTGGTTAGAAATGAGTCCTCCCAAGAGGAGAAGTAAA